TTTAAAATCACGCACGTGGGCCATATGGGCGGCTTTGTGTTGCTCCTGACAACCAACGCAGGTGTCTACTGAGAGCCAAATGGATGGTGCCGGCTGGGGAGGTGAGCGGGGAGCTCGGAGGAGCCCAGGTGTTTGGCGGCAGCGGAGGTGCAGTGTGGCGTTTCTGAGAGGAGCATCAGAAAAACTGTGAGTTCTTATTACTTCATTAATGTAAGCTTCAGTGCTGATTTAAGTTCTATAACCACATAGCTTTAATAAGTGAACCTGCCGTCAGAACTTAGCTTTGTAATCTGTATTGTTTTTTACTCTGGTAAGCATTTAAGAAGCGCATTTCCTTTCCCTTCGTCCGGCTAGACTCGACAGCAGTCGGTTCCTCCTTGGGGCTTATGGGCACAAACATAAATCAGACACTGCTCTTGCCTTCAGAGCGATTACACTGAAAACGAGACCCAGCATTGTTAAAGAGTCTAGGGGAGGTGCAGTGGCTCACTCCTGTAATCCCAGCACTTTGGGCGGCGGAGGTGGTGGATCATGAGGTCAAGAGGTTGAGACCATCCTGGCCAACGTGGTGAAACCGTGTCTCTGCTAAAAATACAAAAATTAGCTGAGCGTGTTGGCCCACGCCTGTAGTCCCAGCCACCCAGGAGGCTGAGGCAGGAGAATCTCTTGAACCCAGGAGGTGGAGGTTGCAGTGAGCCGAGATCACTCCACTGCACTCCAGCCTGGCAACAAGGCAAGGCTCTATCTAAAAAAAAAGAAAAAAAAAGAAAAAATTAGCCAGGTGTGCTGGCAACACACCTGTAATCCCAGCTACTCCAGAGGCTCAGGTAGGAGAACCATTTGAAGCCGGGAGGTGGAGGTTGCTGTCAGCCGAGATCAGCCACTGCTCTGTAGCCTGGCAACAGAGGAGACCTCCGTTTCAAAAACAAAGAATCCAGTGACTGATAGAATTAAACAGAAGGAACACAGAGGGATGCTTAATTCAAACTGAAATTTGAACAGAGACTCTCAGGTGGCAAAGAGCCAAGACTTAGAAGATAAATCAAAGTGTCAACAAAATGAAAAAAGGTTGAAAAGGCTTTTTCCACCAGAGAAAGTCTCAGCAGAGGCATGGAGTGATGCAATAGCATGCAGCTTACAGGGAAATGATCAGCACGTTGGTGAGAATAGAGGTAGGAGTATTTGGGGCTGTGGCTGGAGAGCTAGTAAGGAGCTGAGTCATACTGGACTTTGTCTTAAAAGGCACTTTGACCTGAAGGTGATGGGGAGTTATATAGGCAGATAAGCCTTTTACACTGATCCTTCAAAGGGAGAAAGTACTGGAGGACATGAGTTCAATTTAGAGGCTACTGCAATAGTCCTAGCTGAGAGACAGAGGAAGACAACAGTGGGGAGAGAGAAGGGGAATATTTAGGGGGAAAATGAGACATGTAGCCACCGCTCTTTAATGGCAGACTTAGACAATTCACTGTCATTTATGGTTAATATTTCTCATTCTGAAACATATTTTCATTCACATCTATTACCTACAAAACAGGAAATAAACAAGATTGTCTTTTAGTACAGTACAATACAAAATTCCAAAGAAAGGAATGGTTTTCAAAAAAATTGCACCCTGGTACTCAATTTGTAGGATGTAGGAGCAGGAACAGCTACAGTCCTTAGGCTAGCACCAAGTCCTATTCTAATTAGGTTTTTCACCTTTACTTGTGCCATCAAAGATTGTTTTCAGTTCTCTGTTCTCACTTCCAGATATCTACTTTTTCTTGAACAAATTCGCACCTAAGGCTTCTTAATTCCACCAGCAGATGGTCCTGACACATATAAGTCTCACTATGAAAACGTTTGGATTTTTAATCAGGATGTTCTTTGCCCACGTGGATTCTTCCCCAGCCTGCATGAATAGCTTGAGGTCTGAGGCATTTCAATGAGGCTCAGGTGGTCGGGATGTTGGCATACGTGACCTTCACCCTCCAGTCTCCCCAGCACTCCTGCATTCAGCACGCAGTGAATTCTAAATACCAAGGAAAGAAATTGGGCTAAAATCCCTATTGGAACACACGTTGGAAAAGCATGTTTGTTCTGATCCCATGGCCGTGGAGGCTCTAGGACAGGCGTCCCCAAACTACAGCCCTCGGGCCACATGCGGCCCCCTGAGGCCATTTATCCGGCCCCCCACCGCACTTCAGGAAGGGGCACCTCTTTCATTGGTGGTCAGTGAGAGGAGCACAGTATGTGGCGGCCCTCCAACGGTCTGAAGGACAGTGAACTGGCCCCCTGTGTAAAAAGTTTGGGGACGCCTGCTCTAGGAGGAAAGTGACTCTCTACCCTGCCATAGTGGGAGATGGCAAGAGGTGGGAGCCAATACCATGACTTTACCTTACATCAACCTGCTGATGATGGTGTTTACTATTAAGTGAATGTCAAACTCTCTGACTTGCTATAACAAGGGTAGTGAGAACAGTAGAGACCACTCAGAATAAGCCACTTCTGAAATGCCTCTTACATAGCAATTTATACGTAACAATTGAAACACTCTGGCAGTAAAAACAGCCAGGTAGGTCACACTAGCCTGATGGTTAGGCACATGTGTCTCCTAGTTGCTTCCAATCACATTCTCACTGGACACCCAGCTTCCTCCTGTGTTATTGCAGTCCTTCAGGATCTCTGCCAAATACTGTTAAGTCTAATCTGTATATAAGTTGCTGTGTCAGTGCTGACAGGGTTTAACAAACATTTTCTCAGGTCAGATACTGTCCTAGACACTGCAGATAAAGAAACGTATTTCACACAAGGTCCATCTTCCTGGAACTCACAGTCTAGAGGGGAGGCCTCCCAACTGTTAATGGTATATTCTGCAAATGCAGTAGCTCCAACATGGAGATGAGGCCCAGAATGAGAATCCAAAGGCAGGATCGACCAACTCTGCTTTCGAAGGCTTCATCGAAGAAGTAATGATGGTTATGGGTTCCCAAAGAATGACTATGAGTTCCACAAGCAAAGAAGGGAAGAAGTAGTTCCCAATCCACCAAGCAGGCCACATGGGCTACGTTGTGTTGCTCCTGAAACACATATGCCAAGGGCCAGATAATGGTATCAGCTCAGGGAAGTACAGTGAGGAGCTCAGCAGAGCGCAGGTGATTGACGGCTGCTGAGGAGGGAGGAGTCTCTGAAGTGGGCACCACACCAAGCACTGAAGAGCTGGCCACGTTTGTGGTGGGGGAGCTCCCTGATTCTGTTCCTGCCTCCTAGGCAGAGCCAATTTCCACACTGCTAACTGTCTAGGCTCTGGTTTGAAAGAGATCAGACAGGGAGCGCCAAGCCTCCCAAAAGGATAGTTTTTTGGGAGCAGGCCTTTTCTGTCACCTCTTACTTCAGCGGCTGGTTTTTAAATTTTGATAATCATAAGACTCCTGGAGCAGCAGTTTTTCATTGTGTCCTGTGGACCAGCAGCATGAGCATCACCTGGGAACTTGTTAGAAATGGAGATTTTTCAGACCCCACCCTGATCTATTCAATCAGAGACTCTTAAGAATGGAGCCCACTCCTCTGTCTTAATGAGGCCTCCAGGTGCCTCTGATTCTGACCTAAGGTGTTCATTAAAAATACAGTTTTGTGGCCAGGCACAGTGGCTCATGCCTGTAATCCCAGCACTTCGGAAGGCTGAGGCCAGTGTATCTCTTGAGCCCAGGAGTTTGAGACCAGCCTGGACAGCACGGCAAAACCCCATCTCTACAAAAAAAAATACAAAAATTAGCTGGGCATGGTGGCATGCACCTGTAGTCCCAGCTACTCAGGAGGCTGAGGCAGGAAGATTGCTTGAGCCCAGGAGGTAGAGGTTGCAGTGAGCTAAGATCGCGTCACTATACTCTAGCCTGAGTGACAGAGCAAAATTTTGTCTCCAAAAAAAAAAAAAAAAAAAAAACAGGTTTGAGATTCTGAATCACTCAAGTCACCAAACAGTATGCCAATTATTGCACGTCCCTGGGCCTTGCCTGCTCAGCCACACCCCTAAGCAGGCCTCAGCTTTCCCTGACACTCCTCCCTACATTTCTGGGGTCACCTGAGCCTGGTATTGAACTCCACACTGCCATTCCTATCAACTTCTCTGAATCTTAGTGACTGCAACTATAAAATGAGGGCAGTAATACAGATTACTATAAGACAGTGCAGGCTTGTCAAGATACAAGATGTTTCTATGCCTATTACCCAGGGTCCAACCCCCTGCTAGTTACAGTGGATAATTATAGGTTAATTAGGAAAAGAAACCTGGAAATATGTGATGGCCAATGTGTCCCCACTGATGGATCAAAACTAAACCAACTCCAGAAAGCATCTAAAGAGTGTCCCATGTGGGCTTTCTGGGCACTGTTACCTCCTTTCTCAGCCTTCAGCTTCTTGACCCAGGGACGTGTAGAGTCAGCACTATTTGAGTTCCTGCCGATTGCCCATCTCTGCCCAGGACTTTTCCGTACTTGGCTCCACCTACAGCCCGTCACCCATCACAAAGGCCTCCAATCTAGAGGCAGATTCATATGAATATGTTAGGAAAAAGAATTTCTGTATATACTGAGATATTTGATGGATGGCCTTGTAGAAACCTTTCCAAACTTGAAAGACTAGGATTGACCTCACATTACTTGACCATCAAGTTGCTTTGAAGTCTTTGGCAGCAAATATCTCTTCAGAAAGTTCATTCTTGATTCAGTAGTCCCTTTCATGATTGAATTATGCGCAATGCCTTTCTTAGTATATTTCCAGAATATTAAGGCTTCCTTCAAGAATACAATCTTTGAACAAAATCCTGCCCTCTCTTTTAATACAGAGTGATAGCATAGCTCTTCATGCTTTTAAATTAGTTGGTTTTAAATAACACTTCCTGGATCAGGCCTCTGAAGCTGAAATAATTTCTCTCTCTCTCATTCTCTCTTATACATAAATACTCTACCTAGAAAAAGATCATTCTAGAATGTAGGGGGTGAGGAAAGCACCAGGAATTTGTGCCTCTCACTTGCTATAGAAAAGATAGTCTTGAATCCAAGTTCATGATTCACACCAGGCAAATACTTTCTTCTTCAGATTGTAGCTGAGTGCTACCATTGGCAGCTTAAACAGCCAAAAAGGCACTGCCAGAAGTAAGTACAGCTGGACGTTAGCCTTAAAAGCTGTCTCTTGTGCAAGAAAAGGTTGAGGCAAGTCGGGCAAATTGCAAAGATCGGCAGGTGAGGAGGTGCTACCCTGTACAGTGATGGGGGAAAACACATGGCAAAGTGCTTGGATGAATCAACTTCTTTGCCGTGGGCGTGGAGATTTTGATGAAGCATCCACGCTTTTAAGAGACACAAGTCTGGTGTGTCTGGGTGTATTGCCTCACAGCTGAACTGAGTGTTCCGTAAATTCTGAACACGTCTTAGCCAAGAACCAGCATCCCTGTTCTTTTCACCGAGGCATGTGTGCGTGAGTTCATCAGAGGATGCCACAGTGGCTAGTCAAAACACAGAATCCTCCAGGGTCTCCACTCCAGGCTTCTCTATATAACTGATGACTTCAGTTTCTGTCTCAGTGGATCCAGCTTTCTGCAAAACAAATCATCTTTCCTTAGATGTCCTTTACAGAACTTTTGGATTCTTTGAAATCTTTACAATTGGCCTTAAGTCTACTATTTGTTAAATGAAAATAGCAAATGTTCATTGAAGAAGATGTGGAAAATAAAGCAAGAAGAAGAAGAAAATGCCTTCCCATACACCTCTCTCCTAAACACATAGCCCACTGCTTCTCCTACCTAAGGCTTTTTTCTCTAGGCATAAAGTTTTCTTTACACTTACCTGAAGTCATATGGCTACACATCTTTATACATTAATTTCTTTCTCTCTAACATCACTGATCATAAATTGCATTGTTAAATGTGCTTCAGCCATATCACTTTTGATAGCTCCATCATATTCTATCCATAGTTTACTACAGTATCCCCGTCTTTGGACACTTCTGACCCATTTTGGCTATAATGAATAATACTGATATCCATTAGAAAATTGGTATCAAAAAATAAGATTGCCTGTAGGAGATCCTATTCCTTTACCTCATTTACTTATTCAACATATTTTTTTACTACCTGCTCCACACTCACCACGGTGCTGTGTCTTGGGAATTCACTGATGGACTCAGCAGGCATGGCTCCTGCCCTATCCATTTTACTTTTAATACTTTATAGACAACCTAATTGGGGGAAGAACCCTCCCTGGTTGCCACTGTAGAGACAAGGAACAGCTGGAAACCAGTCTCATAAATTGAAAGCTCAGGCCAGGCACTGTGGCTCATGCCTGTAATCCCAGCACTTTTGGAGGCTGAAGCAGGTACATAGCTTGAGCAGAGGAGTTGGAGACCTGCCTGGTGAGACCTTGTCTCTACGAAAAATATATAAATAAGTAAATTATTAGAAAGCTCAGGATTTGAGTTTTAAAATGAGCTTTTTTTTTTTTTTTTCTGCTAAATGCCAATTCACTTTCTTCCTTCACAGTATTTTTTTTTTTTTTTTTTTTTTTTTTGACAAGTTCTGGCTCCATCACCCAGGCTGCAGTGTAGTGGCACAATCCCAGCTCACTGCAACCTCTGCTTCCTGGGCTCAAGCCATCTTCCCACCTCAGCCTCCCGAGTAGCTGGGACTACAGGTGTGCACCATCACACCTGACTAATTTTTGTATTTTTTGAAGAGATGGGGTTTTGCCATGCTGGCCAGGCTGGTTTTGAACTCGTGAGCTCAAGTGATCTACCTGTCTTGGCTTCCCAAAGTGCTGGGATTACAGGCATGAGCCGCCAGGCCCGGCCCTTCACTATAGTTTGAATGTTACAAAATAATTTCCAACTGAGGTCTGAACAAGCAAAAACTTGCTTTTAGGATGGCAGAGCTCCTCTAAGTCCTGGGACTTCGGGCACCCACCCCAAGCTCAAAGATGCACGTTACCTTGAAAAGCAAAGGGTTTCCTTTCCCACTAGCCAAATATTTCCCAGTGGCCACTGCCTATAGCACCAGTATATCCTCCTGTCATCCTTGTATCACAGCCCCTGAGAGTGGGTTAGATGGCTTTTGTCCTTGGAGGTGGAGGCTGTGCACAGCCACACGGGGCCTGGCTGCAGGCAGCTCCGCACTTGCTCTTATCCTCCCTCACGTGGAGAATTTAGGCCATAGCACCTACCGCACCAGGTAGTACTTCATTTCCTCAGTTCTATATGCTCTCTCTTTTTCATCTCAGTCTCTAACTGCTTTGTTTTTATGTGAAACTCTGCAATGTGAGAAGAGAATAAGTTGTTCTGAGAAGCCAGGCAATGTTGAGTGCTGACATTCATCCTCTAATTATTCTGAAACCAGCTTGTCTGCCCCAAGTTGTTATTTTACACACATGACTTGATTTTAATTAACAACAAATAACAACCTCATTCAATAAGCTCTTAAACCAGTTTATTTCTCCAACTTCAGGATATTAAAGAAAATCTTTCAGGGCTCTGTAAGGAAATTAGATATCACCATTAAGAGGCCAGGACAAATAACTTCAGCTGGCTGCTTAAACTAGATGTGGGCTGGGAGCTATGAATCACACCTGTAATCCCAGCACTTTGGGAGGCTGGATTGCTCAAGGTCAGGAGTTCAAGACTAGCCTGGCGTGACCCTGTCTCTATTAAAAATACAAAATTTAGCCAGGCATGATGGCAGACACCTGTAATCCCAGCTACTTGAGAGGTTGAGGCAGGAGAATCACTTAAACCCGTGAGGCGAAGGTTGCATTGAGCAGAAATCACTCCACTGCACTCTAGCTTGGGTCACAAAGTGAGACTCCATCTCAAACAGACAAAACCGGATGCGGTTTCTCACGGGTGAGTGTGTTAGACCAAGGAGGGACTGGCAGCACACATCCAGAACCAGCACCAAAGTTCTACCTTGGGGCCCACTTTTCCTCCCAAAGAACTCAGTGAAAGAGAGCAGATGGGCCGTTCCCCTGAAAAAGGAGGACACAAGGATCCAGCCCCCGGGAGAGTGATTCTTTTGCCAGCCTCCATTCTCTACTGCAGTCGGCCAGTAATTGTAACTGTCTGTAAATCCTTCCAACACCCAAACTGCAGATGCTAAGGAAAGGTGGCCACTTGTTGAAATTAATCTTTCTGGTGAGTTTTCCCATCAACCTTTTCTTTTCCCTGCAACCAGTCACCAGGTGGTTCACCCAATCATGAGTTACTTTATTTGAGAGAAACCTAAATTTGTTAAGAAAACTGTTTGATCTAAATCAGGGGTTGGCAAACTACAGCTGTGGGACAAATCCAGCTTGTTGCCTGTTTTCGTAAATGAAGTTTTCCTGGAGCACAGCCACACTCATTCATTAGCACGTTTTCTGTGGCTACATTCACACTGCAATGGCAGAGTTAAAGAGACAGAAACCATTTGTCCCTCAAACATGTACTATCTGGTTCTTTATAGAAAAAGTTTGCTGAGCCTTGATCTAAATAACCATTCACCTTAAGGATATGTTTGACAAAGCACAGTAATTACACACGGAAAAATCACACACCATTGCTGAGAGAAGTTAAAGAAAACCTAAATAAATGGAGAGATATGCTACATTTACAGATAAGAATGCTTAATATTAAGATATCACTTCTCCCCAAATTAACTTATGGCTCAACACAGTCTCACCCCAAATCTCAGCTACCTTTTCTTGTAGAAAATGGTCAGCTAAATCTAAGATTTATATGAAAATGCAGAGGATCTAGAATAACCAAAAAAAAAATTTTTTTAAATCATTTTTTGGAGGCCTTATACAAACTGGTCTCATGGTTTACAATAGAGCTACAGCAATCAGGACAGTATTGTATTGGCATAAAGATACACAAAAAGATCACTAAAACCAATCAGATAGTCGAGAAATGGAGCCACCTATATTTGGCAACTAATTCCAACAGAAATGCCAAGACAATTCACTGGGGAAAGGATGATTTACTTCAGCAAACGATGCTGGAACAATTGGATAGCCACAGGTAAGTGACCATTGGGCTGAACCTAAGTGCTCTCAGTGGTGAATAGGCCTAAGAAAATACCTATTGGGTAAAATAATTTGCCTTTTCTATAGTCTTTTTTATACTAAAGAGCTCCCAAGTTCCCTCGGAAAATTCTCTATTAACTAAGGTACTCAGGTAGAAACAAGGAGTCTTAAAACATTCGAGCTAAGAAGAATGTTGTACAATGTCATCTGTGTGCCTTATACCAGAAAGAAATTCAGCACCCCTAGGGTTGAAGAGATTGTCCAAAGTCGGTTAAAGAATGGCTGATATGAAATTAAAATTCAAGTCTGACTGGCAAGAACATTTATAAGAGAGTAGGACCTTTCCAATATGTCAAAACAGTAATGAACATTCATAATAAAACTATCAGCCAAGCAGGCATGGTGGCATACTTCTGCAGTTCCAGCTACTTGGGAGGCTAAGGTGGGAGGATCGCTTAGACCTAATTGTTTGAGACCAGTCTGGGCAACATAGCAGGACCCCATCTCTTAAAAAATACAAACAGCCGAATCAGCCAAAGAACAGAATGACTGAAGCAATAGAAATACTCTTGGCCTTCTGAGTGAAAACCCTCCCTTATAATATAGAAAACCAAGAACCCAGTGACAGCTCCCAGGGAACTCAACCCTGGACACATATGGTGTATCGTAAGAACTTTCCACATTACCTCATAGTTAGGGGTTACAAAGAAGTCTTTGATATTACTTTTTGGTGCTGGAATTGGTGGAAACAACTTGTTCCATAAATGACATCTGAAAACAGAGCGAAAGAAGGAATTAGATGAGCATGAGTATACCATTTGTCTCTAAATGTCTATTCGAAACATTGACCTGGTTAATTCTAGAATCTGCTGTTTTGTAAATTCAAAATCTTTATTGACCAAGACTTCTAAAATAATAGGTGAAGACTTTGAGGGGTACCGCAAGGCTCTGCTGTGGTTTCTGAGTCATCCAGGGAAGAACAAAGGGAAACTGCTTTGTGTCAGTGGGTGTTACCAAGCCTAATCTCTGAAAATGAACTGTATACTTCAAATGTGTCGTGCTGTGCCGTTTGCTACAATGCTGGTTGAAGCATTCCTTCCTCAACCGTGCTTGCTCACAGAGTTTACTTACTTTGTTGTTGTTGTTGAGACCGTGTCTTGCTCTGTCACCCAGGCTGGAGTGCCGTGGTGCCATTGCAGCTCATTGCAACCTCCACTTTGTGGGCTCAAGCAATTTTCCTGCCTCAGCCTCCTGAGTAGCTGGGACTACAGGGACATGCCACCACACTTGGCTAATTTTTGTATTTTTTTGTAGATACAGGGTTTCACCCTTTGCCCAGGCTAGTCTCGAACTCTTGACCTCAAGTGATCCTCCAGCCTTGGTCTCCCAAAGTGCTGAGATTACAGGTGTGAGTCACCATGCTCAGCCAAATTTACTTTCTTTTCATCTGCTTTGGGCTGCCTTCCCCAACCTACAGATGCCATCTAAAGATAACATTTATAATAGTAAAAAGTTGTTTAATATAAAAGTCATTTTCTAAATTATGAAAGGGCCAAGACAAAACATGTTCTTAAGCCTCCTAAAATGTCCTTTGCCTTACTGAAAGCTAAAATGTGTAAGGGGTACTTACGGGCCATTTGTGGGCTCCAGGATAGTACACCAGATCCACATGCTATTTGTAGAATCTGTTTGACCTATGAGCCATCAGCCACTCAGGGGCCTGATGACCCAGTAGTTTAGGATGATAACGTGCAGGCATTGTGGTGATTTTAGCTTTTCTGAGCTGTGAAAACCCTATGCTGGCAGCTTACCCAAAACAGCCAAGGACCGAGTGGAAGGCTGAGAAGGAATCAAAAGAACCCGCGTGTAGAAACCTTCACAGAAATTAACAAGCTATCCACAGCTTCAAGTAGGAGTGAGTGATAGCCAAGGGCTGTGTTGTGCTCTGTCTGGCTGCTGTAATTCACCTCTGGATGTTTCCCACTTTTGATTTGGCCTATGCTCATCTCGAACAGGTCATCCAGGCATAAAAGTGCTATAAATTCCACCTGGTAACAAGAACCCTCTGCCTACCGGACACATAGTAAGTGTGTAAAAATGCAGTACTCAGACCCCATTGCAAGCTCCCAAATGTAAAGAATACCTACGTTCTACAGATGAGCGAGAGAATTAACAAGATCAAGCAGATGGTTGCCATAAGCACAAAGAGAAACCATTTTCTCAAGGGCTTCTGTTCATCATTTCCTGGTGGAAAACAAAAAAGAAAGAAAGATAAGAAAGTCCAAGTTAGAAGCAGTAGCAGGTAAAAGAAATGATGAGGCTTGGGGCATCAGACAGCTTGAGTTTTAGTTGCCGGTGCTGGGTGGTGCTGGGCAAGTAGCTTAACTTCCCTGAGCCTAAGATTTCGCATCTGTAAAAGACAGGTAATAACAATCTCACAAAGCTGATATAGGATGAAATGAAATGATGGCAGTGAGACCACTTTTATTCTTAAAAAATGATTTATTCAGTTAATCAGCAAATATTTATGGAGTTCATTCCGTGTACTGTGCCACTTGGATCTTGAAGCATATCTGTTTTTGGTATGTAGTAAGGTTTTTAGATGGAAAATCCACAAAACATAAGCCTACTGAGTAACCCAATTGAATCACAATCAAAATATTTTACAAAGTTGGAAATTAAACTTTTGGAGAAAGTATGAGATAATACTTGTAGTGAACAATAAAGGCATCAGACTCTAAGTGCTTTTCAATCTTAAGTATCTAAAGTACCTCTTACCATTGTTCCCATTTCACAGATAGGAAAGAAGAAAACTGCCATTAAGTCAGTGTAGAAAGTCAGTATTTTGCATGCCAATTATTCTCTGTTTAAATTTGTTTTGAGTCTACATTCAAGAGACAGATTCTTCGAGGAACTTCTATAATAGCTTTGGGGTATGTAATTTTTTTTTAAGTACTAGAAATGCATCCAGGACAAACTCCAGCCAGGTACAGTGGCTCATGTCCTTAAATCTCAGCACTTTGGGAGGCCATGGGGAGTGGATCACTTGAGGCCAGGAGTTCGAGACCAGCCTGGCCAACATGGTGAAACACAATCTCTACTAAGAATACAAAAATTAACCAATTGTGGGGGCAGGCACCTGTAATCCCAGCTATGTGGGAGGTTGAAGCAAAAAATTGCTTGAACCCTGGCAGCAGAGGTTGCAGTGAGCCAAAATAGTACCACTATACTCCAGTCTGGGGGACAGAACAAGACTCTGTCCCTTGTCCCCCACCAAAAAAAGAAAAACTCAAGGCCATTTACCAAATCATGTTTAGAGAGGTGATGCACGTGCTAACCTGCTTGATTCCTGCATGATCTCCCTGAATACAAGTTTCGTTTCTGTGGGAGAGACTGCTTATTCATTGATTCCTTTATTCATCCATTTAACAAATATTTATTGGGCACCCATTATATTTTGGCACTGTACAAATCACTGGGATTCAGTTGTCAAAAGATCATACATGGGTGCACCTGTCAGGGAGTCCATTAGAAAGAATCACACTCGGCAAATAGCAACACAAACAATGATTTAATGATCACTGTGCTAAGTATTGTGGTGAGGTTTCAACCACACCGCACCAGGAGAAAAGATTACCATCCCCAGTTTACTATGAATTGCTTCCTCTAGAAAACAAGAAATACATAAGTGGAATTTTCAAGTCCTTGTTAATAGGCTAAGACTTCAAAAATGTTTAAAATGCTTAAAACCCAAATCATTCAAGTAACAAGAGGGAGAGATGCCTTGGGATATAATGCTAGTGAGTCCAGCCTTGCCTTGTTCTCTTGCTTTTTTGATTTTTGAGGACCCTTACCCAAGCTTTATCTTCTACCTCCTGAAAGTTTTAATCTCTTTCTTTATCTCTTCCCTTTTGCTTTCAAATAGTCATAGAATTCTTCATCTTGAAAAAGCCATGACCCTGCTCTGCCATCTCTCTCCACTGTCATCAAATACCTTCTTAACTTATTTTCCAGTCAAATTCTTGAATAAGGGCTGGGTGTAGTGGCTCATGCCTGTAATCCCAGCACTTTGGGAGGCTGAGACAGGTGGATCACCTGAGGTTGGAAGTTCAAGACCATCCTGGCCCACATGGCAAAATCCTCTCTCTACTAAAAATACAAAAATTAGCCTGGCTTGCTGGCTCATGCTTGTAGTCCCAGCTATTTGGGAAGCTGAGGCAGAATTGCTTGAACCTGGGAGGCAGAGGTTGCAATGAGCCTAGATCTTGCCACTGCACTCCAGCCTCAGCAACAAGAGTGAGACTCTGTCTCAAAATTTAAAAAATTCTTTAAGGGATTCAGATGCTTCATTTCCCATCTCTAACACTGCTTTTTTAATCATGGTGACTTCCTCCTCATTGAATTCAAAATATTCTGGGTTTCTTTTTCCAGCTTTATTTTTACTGACCTCCTTCCTGAATTTCAGACTGTGGATAGTTTGAGCCGACCCTGAAATTGAGTCCTCAGCTTTATTGCCAAAATCTTCCTCTTCTTCAGTGGCACTTCTCCCCTTTTTCATTTCTACTGGCCCTCTCCACTCATCCTTTGACCCTTTGGTATTTTCCACTGTGGTCGGTTCTTTCAACTTTGAAAAGTTTGTTTATACAACTTCATCTTTTAATTTCATGAAATTTTCTCCCAGGTTTTTATCCCTGGTCCTGCCTGATGCTCAGCTCTAGGCCTATGTCTTAAACTGTCCATAGGTGAAAGCGGAAACCTGCCCGGATGTTTCTCAAGGCTGACAACATTCAAAACCAAACAAATGCATGCTCTTCTTCATATCAAAACTCCTTCTCTCGCTAACTGCCCCATTTCAGTCTCCATTCTTCCGAGCCCCAAAACCTGAAGCCTTGAAATCACTTTGATCCTTTCCATCCTTTACAGCCCTCGTCCCTCCTCCTCATTCCCTCAGTTCACATCGTTACTGCATACCCAGTGGTTAGTGCCAGACAGGCATGCTTTGTCCAGTGCTCTCATCCCTGCCTAGTCGGGAAACCTCAGTTCTAGTCTCAGCTTGCTGTGAAGGTGGTCATTCTGGGCCTTGGTTTCCTCATCTGAAAACAAGGCGGTTGAAATGTATAATCCTTCAGATCCTTCCCCAGCCGGCACCTTTTCTAGCACCACTCACTCAGTCCAGGGTACTGTCACTTCATGTACACCTCTCTTTAACAAAATTGGTTTTAGAAAAGTGGTACCTTTTTGGGTGGGGTGTGGTGGCTCATGCCTGTAATCCCAGCTCTTTGAGAGGCCAGCAGGCAGATCAGTTGAGGTCAGGAGTTTGAGACCAGCCTGGCCAACATGGCGAAAGCCTGTCTCTACTGAAAATATAAAAATTAGCCAGGTGTGGTGGCACGCACCTGTAATCCCAGCTACTAGGAAGGTTGAGGCAGAAGAATCACTTGAACCTGGGAGCCAGAGGCTGCAGTAAGCCAAGACTGTGCCACTGCACTCCAGCCTGGGTGACAGAGCGAGACTCTGTCTCCAAAAAAGAAAAGAAAAGAAGTACCTGTTTTGCTGCAGGAAGTTTAAAAGTTGTAATAAAGTATAAAAAATAAAGAAAAATCAGTAGTCATTGGAAGTAAGTAGGAGGTTATTTTCGATACATATTTTTCGCTTTTCTGAGTGCTTCTAGGTGCCTAGATACTATGTAAAGTGCTTCACATACATTCTCAATTTAATTCTCACAAGGATGCTTTGAGATGGACACTGTTATTCTTACTGTTCAGATAGAGTAACTGAAAAAGGACGCTATTATTCTTACTGTACAGAAAAGGACAGAGTAAGTCAGCCCAGGCCACGCAGCTGGGAAGTGAGGGAGCCCAACCAGTCCTTGCTCTTAACCTTGATGCAGGAATCCCATTCCTCTCCTTCCCTCTGCAAAACTGAGGGCACACTGAATACACGGGAGCTTCCCTTCAATTATTCTAAGCATTGCTTTGTCATTGAGAACTCTCCTGGGCATCATCTTCATAGCTCTCTGTGCATCATTGTGGGAAGCCCTGTTCTATTGTTTGTATCCCTGCTGTCTGATAAGGCTAAGCATGCAGGCTGCTTCTCTAATTAAAGGTGGCTACTTTGGAAAACTAGTGTTCCTTCTGACATTCCCCAAACTCTAGATGGGATTGAAGCACTTTGTTAAAAACCTATGACTATACTGTTTATTTATATGAGATAGGGTCTTGCTCTGTCACCCAGGCTGGAGTGCAGTGGTATGATCATAGCTCCCTGCAGATTCTAACTCCTAGGTTCAAGCAATTCTCTCCTCTCAGCCACCCAAGTAGCTGGGACCACAGGCACGCATTACCACACTTGGCTAGTTTTTTTAATCTTTAGTAGAGACAGAACCTCAGTATGTTGCCCATGCTGACCTCAAACTCCTAGACTCAGGCAGTCCTCCCACTTGGGCTTCCCAAAGTGCTGGGATTACAAGCGTGACCAATCACACCCAGCCCTGTGGCTATAGTATTTATTTTTTCAAGTTTTATTTTGAAATATACTTATGTCTATTGTTTTGCAAAAAGGCATTAACCACATTTTGTTAAATGATGGAAAACAGAACCTCAAAGTGGCAAACCTTTTATTTTCCTAAATCCTACAGATACTTGGTGGTTCTAGGATTAATATTCAGTCCTCTGGATTGGAACTGAATGTCCCGTTAGACTTTGTTTTTACTGTATTCTATCTTAGGTAATATAAAGAGTAGCTGGGACAAACTAATACCAGTAAATCGAACACCATCTTACTTTATTTCCCAGTCTGATTTCCTGAATAAGGAATTCAGCCTGCTTCATCATCCCATCTCTGAAACTATTCCATGCTCTTAAACATTTTGTCAATATCCCTATAACCACATTCAGAAACTGTGGGTTCATATACATGGGGCACAAATTCAGCAAGTGGTACATCAGCAGGAAAAAGTTACCCTGTTTACAACTAGTTAAAGCAACAGAAAAAGTACAGGTCCAGGAGAAAAAAGGAGCAGTGTTGTAAATAATTATCAGGGTCACACTCTCAGTCACATTTGTGTCTCAAATTGTGCAATACCTCCAGTCTGATGTGGTGAGTCCTGATAACAGTACCGTTTTCTTCTGACCATGATTACAAAAATCTTTTCAGTTAAACCACTCTCGAGTTATTCACTTCAGCCCTCACTTCGATAAGCGAAGATTCTCACTGAATTAGCAAAAGTGTAGAAGCAACAGATT